GGACGAAGAACGGTCACGGCATGATTTGGGTGGTCGTGGATCGTTTCACTAAGAGTGCACACTTCATAGCAGCCAACGAAAGGTGGTCTATGGATAAACTCGCAAATGCTTACGTGGAGGAGATAATAAGACTTCACGGTGTTCCTCTAACGATTGTATCGGATCGTGATAGTCATTTCACGTCACGATTTTGGAGAAGTCTACAAGACGAATTTGGCACGAAGTTGTGTTTGAGTACAGCTTACCATCCGCAGACTGATGGTCAGAGCGAAAGAACGATACAAACACTCGAAGATATGCTAAGAGCATGTACCCTAGAATTCCAAGGTAACTGGGATGAGCACTTACCTTTGGTAGAGTTTTCCTACAACAACAGTTTCCACTCGAGCATCAAGATGGCACCCTATCAAGCCTTATATGGACAAAAGTGTCGTAGGCCGTCTTGTTGGCTTGAGGCTGGAGAAAAGCAGTTTATGGGCCTCGAGATAGTCCATGATACTGCTGAGAAGCCGAAGGTGATAAGGGAAAGGATGTTAGCAGCTCAGGATCGTCAGAAGAGCTATGCTGATAAGAAGAGACGACCGATGACCTTCGAAATTGGGGATTCGGTTTTGCTTAAAGTCTCACCGTGGAAGGGACTTATAAGATTCGGTAAACGAGGAAAGCTAAGTCCAAGGTTTATTGGACCGTTTAAAGTTCTTCAGAGAATTGGAAACCAAGCTTACAAGATCGAATTACCCATGAAATCCTCAGGAGATTTCTCTCCTTCAAAACCGGCCACCCTCTTGGGTTCCAAAATATTCCAATTGCTCAACTATTGAATAATTAATATTCAGTCCATGTACCTTTAAATAATTTCCTGGTTAATTCTAATTAATTTCAGTTAACTCCAAATTAATTCTAAATTAATTTTAACAAGTATCTAATTAATTTATCAAGCTATGATAAATTAATAAACTATTTATCTCACTCTCTTAAATCATTTCTAGCTATTTTAGCTCTTGAGGGCAACCCTAAAAGAATTTTGTTATTATTGTCAAAGTTATACCAATAGTTGATGACATTGGATACCTATTTCCAACAGCGACTACATGCTTCCCACACTGAAATGTGTCTATCTCTCTTTTATTATGTATTGTATAATCATTTCCTGCTTTATTGTTTTCCATCCAACTAAAGGTTTGCTCATGTTGAGTTATTGAAGCTTACATACTTTACATAATTTCAGTATTCTTGTTTTTGGAATTAAGTAAAATATATTTTGTATATTTTTCTTATTCATAGCTATGGGTTTTCCTGTTTAAATTTTTCGGGATTGGGGTTTTACGGAGTGTTGGTTGGAGCAGAGAGGGTACTGTAGTATTGTTTAGATCTTCAATTCTTCTATTAATTTCTAAATCAATCTTAAAAGAATATACTTTATTCTTCATAGAATACATTGTCATAATTGAGCAATTCTAAGATATTTCAACAATTACATTCAATACAATAAATAATCTAGTAAATTCTAACCACTTTCACAACAATATGCTTTATTCTTCAAAGAATACACAATCATTTCTTGAATTTTTTTTTAAAAAGTTGTTATTCTTGAAAGAATGGCATGTTCTCATCTTGAAATCAGACATCTTGAAATTAGACCTGATGTTTGTCTTTATCATCTTGAAATCAAACTCTTTTATTTTTATTGATGTTTTTCTTTAGCATATATGATGTTTGTCTTTATCACTTGAAAATGGACCTTAATCACTTACATGAATGTTGTGACATTCGTTGGTTAGGGCCTTATCAAAAGGAGTGCTACTATAGAAGGGATGAAAAATAGGGATGTAAGATGATGGTGATGCTGGTGTGAAGATATTGACAATAATGGTTATGGGGATGTAAGATGATGGTGAATGTCGGTTGAAAAATAGTTTTTGTATATGACCATCACCGAAATAAGGAGTAGGCCAACATTTTTATTGGAAAATCAGGGGTTTCCAAGTCCACATCCAAGTACTTATTACTTATTGGGTTGTAATTGCTATCTTATTAGGTTCAACCACTTTATCCGTTCGAATGAATTGCCTTTAAATTAATCAAACAAATATTATCAGACGTTTCAGGTTGCGCGAAATCAATATAATACACAAAAATCAAAATATCAAAATTTATTCAAGAATCAAAGTTCGAGGGTCAAACATGTCAAAGATAAAACACAAGGATCAAATATGTCAGCAAAATCACCAATGAACCAATCTTGCAAAGATTTATTCGTTCCAGGATTAAATCTGTCACATTCTAAATTTACATGTCATCAGGGACCAAACATGTAATAATATTTACCATGGGATCAAAAACAAAAACATTCAACAAGTTTCAGCAGGGATCAAATATGTCTAAATTGAATTCCTTGGGACTAAAAGTGTAACTATATTACAAAATCGCTTTTGTCTCGTCGGAGACGATCGTAATGTGTGCACCACGGCCAAGTTCACCTGGTAACTCATCGATGAAGCTCAAATAACGACCAATCGTTGTACGTTCCAACCAAGGAAGTTGGATCGTGTTGTCGAGAAACTTAATCTGGACGTTCTTTGTCTCCGAGAAATCTAAAGGTTGGACGATCTGCTTCATCGAGATCCCATCGGGCTTGACAGTCCATTGTCACCAAATGAAAGAAAGAAAGAAATTGGAACTTCAAGCCAAAAAGGAACTTGTGTCAGGAATACCTCACAATAATAAATTCAACAACCGTTCAGCCATCAAATCTAATTTCACAACATAAATACCCTAGTTAACAAGGCTTCCAAGAAGAAGGTTGAATCCTCTGTGAGAACTTGACAAGGTACTTGATATAATCTGAGTAAAGACACAAGGATGCATCGGGCAAAAGTTTTATACATTACCTATTTAGATCATAAATCATATTCCGATTTCCGAATCATAATTAGATCATATCATATGAAGCAAACGGTATGGTTATATGTTTTGAATTGTATTATTATGGATGATATCATTACGATTCATAACAACTAGGAAAAGGTCTGTGTGTTGCACGGGTGAAAGTTTAGTGGCAAAAATATAAAGAAGTAAGAATAAAGTGTCAAAATTATAAAAAGGAAAAGTTTGTTGAAACTTTAGTGGCAAAATTAGTAAAAATAAAGTACCAAAACTATAAAGAGGAAAAGCTTGTTGAAACTTTAGTGGCAAAATTATAAAAAAGTAAAAATAAAGTGGTAAAATTATAAAATAATAAAGAAAAATGATTTTAAAGAAGTAAAAGTGAAAGTTTAGTGGCAAAAATATGAAGAAGTAAAAATAAAGTGGCAAAATTATAAAAAGGAAAAGTTTGTTGAAACTTTAGTGGCAAAATTAAAAAAAATACAAATATAGTGTTAAAATTATAAACATGGAAAGTTTTTGTTGAAACTTCGCATGCGCTTTAATATATATATATATATATATATATATATATATATATATATATATATATAATTTTGAGGTATATCATTTTTAACCCGGTGAGTGTCATGCTTGGAATTAGGGATTTTGTTGTATTAAATCTTAAGTTTAAGGGGAATAAATGATAAACTAGCAAAGAATCTGCGGCTACGCCGCTTTTGGGTAATATGGGAAAAATCGGCAAACTTTAAAATATATGTGCTAAAACTTTAAATCACCACAAATAGAGTAGAAAGTCGACAACCCCTAAAATTAGATGTCAAAAGTGTACAACCAAAAGAAGGGACACTGGTGGAGAAAAAAAATGTTGTGACAATAATGTTAAAGTTGCAAAAGTTGGAAAAATATAGTGGCAAAGTTCAAAAGAAGGTTTTTTGTGTTTTTATGTCAAAATGTAAAAGATTTGAGTACAAGGACAAAAAGTGTCAAATTCATTAAAGATTTGTGGCAAAAACACCAAAATATAAAACTTTTGACTGTAAGGACTAAAAGTGTCAAAGTCATTAAAGACTTAATCAAAACACAAAAATGTAAAAGTTTTGACTTTAGGGACGAAAAGTGTCATATTCACCAAAAATTTGTGGCAAAAACCTAAAGCCTAAAAAGTTACTATTGCTAAGGCCCTTGTGATTTAATATATATAACTAGCAAAGTACTCGCGGCTACATCGCTTTTGGGGTAATATGGAATAAATGGGCAAACTTTAAAAGATATGTGTTAAAATTGTAAATCACCATAAATAGGGGAGAAAATCGACAGCCCTTAAAATTAGATGTCAAAAGTATACAAATAAAAGAAGGGACACTGGTAGAGAGAATCCAAAAATGTTGTGGCAATAATGTTAAAGTTGCCAAAGTTGGGAAAATATGGTGGTAAAATTCTAAATGAGGTTTTTTTGTGTTTTTTATGTCAAAATGTAAAAGTTTTTACTACAAGGACGAAAAATGTCAAATTCATTAAAGATTTGTGGCAAAAACACCACAATGTAAACTTTTGGCTGCAAGAACTATAAGTGTCAAAGTCACTAAAGATTTATGTCAAAAATCTAAAGTCACAAAAACTTAATCAAAACATAAAAATGTAAAAATTTTGACTTTAGGGACTAAAAGTGTCAAATTCACTAAATACTTGTGGCAAAAATCTAAAGGTAAAAAAATTTACTATTGTTTGGCTGCAAGGACTATAAGTGTCAAAGTCACTAAATATTTATGTCAAAAATCTAAAGTCACAAAAACTTAATCAAAACATAAAAATGTAAAAATTTTGACTTTAAGGACTAAAAGTGTCAAATTCACTAAATACTTGTGGCAAAAACCTAAAGGTAAAAAAATTTACTATTGCTAAGCTCATTTAGATTTAATATATATATATATATATATATATATATATATATATATATATATATATATATATATATATATAATAACCGGGGTATACCATTAAAAAAAGGAAAAATGGAAAAGCGTTACACTCCCGCGAAAGACCCGCTCCCTGCTCACCCCAAAAAAACAGTCGTCCGATTCAAATTGTCTCTCTTTTCTTTAATGTGAGGAACACACAGTATGAACGTGTTAATGTGCATATAATTTCGCCTTCTTCAGTTTTTTCTTTGTGGAATTGTGAGATAATTGTGTAGAATCGACAATGGATGTAGAGTACGATGTCATAGTTCTAGGCACCGGCCTCAAAGAATGCATTCTCAGCGGTCTACTTTCTGTCGATGGCCTCAAGGTAATTATTCCCTTCATCTCTTTCTCTTTCAAATTGCAGTATAATGATCACCTGTATGTAAAACATACAAATCGGAGGTTTATAGTTCAATCCAAAATTTTGATTTATTTACTCCAACTTATTGGATCGAGATCGGTCTATATTGCCACCTGCAGACTAATCGTTGGATGCCCTAAATGTCGTCATAATATATCGTTATTATTATTACGAATTCTAATTGTAATAAAATGTCGAACTTCTTAGAGGATTTACGCAGCATTTCCGTTCATGTAGCGATATCAATAGACCAAATTCCAAATTTGAATCAAACCAATAATGAGTCAGTTTATTCAGACAATGGAGGCTCCTGTTTGACTACATGGTATACGAAATCAGATTTTGCTTTGTTTGAGGAGGCCAAACTGTGGTAAAATCTTTTGATTTTAGGGATTACAACGTCCCCCGACAAACTCATAAAATTTTGGCAGGGTCTGAATGGCACTATTGAATAGTTTCACAGATTAAAATTCATGATCTGATTTCGGATAAAGGTCAAACTGTCAATCTTTGATCCAGTTCTCTATAATATTTAATTGGGTGACCATTTAACAGGTACTGCATATGGATAGAAATGATTATTATGGAGGAGAATCAAGCTCCCTCATGCTGAATCAGGTAATGTGTTTATAATATAAATAATATCTTACATGCATGCTTTAAAATATCAGACATGTTTTATACTAATTTCCAAGTGAATGAGGTTTAAAATATCTCCCTTTGGTTATAGCTTTGGAAGCGTTTCAAAGGAGATGAAAATCCTCCAGAAACTTTGGGCAGTAGTAAGGAATATAATGTTGATATGATTCCAAAGGTAAATCTACATGATGCAATACTTTTCCTAATTTTTTTTATTACAATTTTCATTTTTTATTATATTAAGCTTCTATGTGTTTTCATAGTTCATGATGGCAAATGGCATTTTGGTCCGTGCTTTGATCCACACCAATGTTACAAAGTATCTAAATTTCAAGGCTGTAGATGGCAGCTTTGTATACAATAAAGGGAAGGTAAGTTGTTTTTTAGCATTCTATCCTTTCACCTTCTTTTATAATCAAAATATGAAATGTTTCTTCAACATATAAATTGGCATCCAGATCTACAAAGTTCCTGCAACTGATGTTGAAGCTCTAAAATCTACACTTATGGGTCTGTTTGAAAAGAGGCGAGCACGAAAGTTCTTCATATATGTCCAAGATTTTGACGAAAACGACCCTAAATCTCATGAAGGATTGGATTTGAACACAATTCCTGCGAAAGAGCTCATTGGGTACACACCTTTTCCTCTTTGTGCTATAGAATCATTAACAAAAGTGTTAATTATATAGATCCCATATTTTCTTTTGGTGTAGGAAATATGGTCTTGAAGATGATACAATTGAATTTATTGGTCATGCATTGGCACTCTATACCAGTGATAGTTATCTGGAACAACCAGCAATTGATTTTGTCAAGAAAATCAGGGTGCAGTTTTTTTACAACTGTTTTGCTTAATGATATATCAGATTATCATCCTCTCTGAAAGTTGTTGTTTTTGGAATTTTCTCTTGTTTTTTGCTTGCTTAAAGCTCTATGCAGAATCTTTAGCACGCTTTGAGTCAGGATCTCCTTACATCTATCCAATGTATGGGCTTGGAGAGTTGCCACAGGTTAGTCTCCATGATCATATCTCCTTAATTTTAGGGTTTGAATCTTGTTACATTCTTCAAATCTCTATATGTTACATACATTGAAAGTGTTTTTGCACAGGCATTTGCTCGATTGAGTGCAGTTTATGGAGGGACTTACATGCTTAACAAGCCAGAATGTAAGGTATAATACTGATAGATGTTAAATGCAACTAACAGAAACATACTTTTTATGATTTTTTTTTTCTTCATATTACAATGTTGTACTTTAGAAAATCTACCTAATTCTAGCAAAATATCTAATTCCTGGAATTACAGGTGGAATTCGATGATAGTGGGAAGGCTATTGGTGTGACATCTGATGGAGAAACTGCTAAATGCAAAAAAGTTGTATGTGATCCATCATACGTACCCGATAAGGTAATTATGGAAACCAACTATAGTTACAAAATACTATATGAATATTTTTTAGGGTATAGTAATCTTGATATATGAAATAGGTGAAAAAAGTTGGGAAAGTTGCTAGAGCCATATGTATAATGAGTCATCCTATTCCAGACACAAATGATTCTCATTCAGCCCAAGTCATCCTTCCACAGAAACAACTTAATCGAAAATCCGACATGTATGTACATTTACATGTTTATGGATCTTTTATGAGTTTGTAGCCAAGTTTATATTGAACTTTTTATTATTATTACTTGATCAGGTATCTATTTTGTTGTTCTTATTCGCACAATGTGGCTCCACAAGGCAAGTTTATTTCTTTTGTGACAACAGAAGCTGAGACTGATGATCCTCAGAGTGAATTAAAGCCTGGGGTAGACCTTCTTGGACCTGTGGATGAGATCTTCTATGAAACTTATGACAGATATGAGCCAACAAATGATGCTGAAGCTGACAGCTGCTTTGTATCAACTGTAAGTAGCAATTAATGTATTTTTTTTCTAGTATACAGAAAAGAATAGACTTAATAAAGAAAAACATACATCTTGTAGAGTTATGATGCAACGACACACTTTGAGACAACAATGAAAGATGTTCTTGCAACATACACCAAGATAACTGGAAAGGTTTGGTTCTACATTTGTTCATTTAAGATTTGTTGTTTTATAGCATTCTAAATCGAGATTTTGTTTGTGTTTTTTTTAAGGAACTTGACCTTACGGTTGACCTGAGTGCTGCTAGTGCTGGTGGTAGTGAAGAATAAGTTCTTTACATCGAGAGCTTGCTTTTGGAGCTACACTGTGGTTGAATTGTTTTTCTTTTTGTCATAGGAGTTGATGATCTACACATGATGGTATTGTCTAATATAGAAAATAAGGGTTCTATATGTTTTGTAATAGATTTTCTTCCAAATGCTTTTTGTAGGGAAAGGAAGTAATAATGGCTTAATTGTTGTTTCCATGTTGGAAAACAAAATTCTCAAAGTATGCGAGTTTTAGAAAGTATAGAAAAAATGTGTATTTGATCTTAATAAATTTATAAAAAACAAAATGTGATTGTTACAAAACATATGTGATTGTTTGAGCTCTTGATCGATGCCCGGTGCTTTTTAGTCATTGTTTATTGTCTATTGATTCATTAATTATCTAGTGATCAAGAAGCCTTTAATACAATTACAAGGAGATATGAGTCATATGACCTAGCTAATTTAGGATATTCAATTCCTTACCTCTAATTTACAAAGGGAACCCCAAACTATACAAAAATATTGAAATATACACTAACATCCCCCTCAAACTCAAAGAGGGGAAAGTGTGGTCCAACTTGAGTTTGTAAATTATAAACTGAAATCCGACTAGACAAGTCACAAGTGTGCCTTAGAGAAGATATCGATAGGCTGATAGGTTGTGGAGATGGGGAGGAGATGAATTGTCTTAGCTACAACATGTGGTCAGATGAAGTTCGGATGGTAATTTACACTTATAATATTAAGTCCAATTATTTTAATACATTTAAAGGTCCAATAATATAAGACTCGACTTTACTTGTTTTCCAAATTTGATATTTTCTTTTCATGGTGACACTTATATTAAAACACAATCACTTTCTACGAGTTTCATGGATGTTTCCTTGAATAGAGACAACTTTTTTGTAGTTCATGTACCTCTTCCTTCACCTTATCATTGGTTGCTAAACAATTATGATGCCAGCAAATTTCTTTCACTGACATTTAATCAATAATTTGTACATATAATTTAGGCTAACCAATGTCATCTTAATATTTGAATGATAGTTGTTATAAGAAAACTCCATCGGTGTCAAAGGTATGTCCCAATTTTCTCCTAAACTCAATGGTGTGTTATTTTAACACACTCCTTGAGTGTTTAAATGGTGAATAAAATCACTTTGACTATTTTCTTGAGGGTGGTTTGTAGTACTTGGTTTTACCTTTGTATACATTCCTTCATGAAGATTTTGCTATAAACAAGACATAGATTGATTATATTGATTTCAAACAATGGCTAATGGTATATCCGTATACCATGCCTTTTAATAACTTCATCCATGTCTATCTTTTTCATATTTTCCAACGGAAACATCTTACCTATTGCAAAGGGTGTAAACTTTTTTTTGTTAAGCGATCAACTATGACTCAATTATGACCCATATCAAATCATTTCTTCATTATGTCATTGATAACTTTGTGATAAAGTCAATTATGATGATATGTTCTGTTAAATATGACTTGAGCATTTAAAGCATTCGCATGGATCATTTGAGTTCAATGGAGCACTTGGAACTCAATGGAGCATGTGACAAAGGAACGGATCATGTAACAAAGCAACGGATCATCATAAAGGGGAAATGGAGCATCTGAGAAGGGTGCGGAGCATCTGAGAAGGGTGCGGAGCACCTGAGAATGGAATGGAGCATCTGAGAAGGGTATGGAGTGTAAGTCCCAAAACTATGAATCTTTACAATATCAATCTTAATTGCTTAAAGAATGAGGAATATTAATCAAGCAATGACTCAAGAACACACAAAAACACTTCAAATGCACACGATTCTATTATCAATAATCGTCTGGTACATAAGAATCTTCTCATAGCCGAAAATAATATGAATGAACAACTGGAGTGTTGACTGAAAACTCCAAGAATTATAGACCGAAAACAGATGATTTCGATCAAGAACCAAAACCGAAAAGGTTAATTTCTTGAACAGATTTCGGTCTAAGCGTTGACCGAAAACTCAGGCTTTGACCAAATAACCACCGAAAACCCTTTAGAATGATGCAACCGAAAACCTTGATTTGTTATTTAACAGGATACCGAAATCCCTTAAATTTCGTGATTTAAATGATAACAGTCCAAATCTAATCCCGATAAATTAGAAGAACATGCCCAAAATTCTCGATGAACACGAAGAACACCAATAACAGTTTCACAAAGAACTATAAAAATGGAATTTTTTTTTTAAAATACGTATCTTTGATTAAACAAAAAACAAGTTTAAAAATATAAAAGATGATCAATAAATAATTGAATAATAAACATATAAAAATTTGATTTAAAACAACAACAAAATATAAAATATAAAAATATAAAATAACACCTAGATAATATATTGAATACGTAACATAAATAAACAATACATAATAAGAGTTGATAACAATAAAAAATAAAAGACTCTTGACAAACTCAAAAGACATTACTACGGTTGGTTTTTTTAGTATGGAAATGTAAAAGGGAATGAAGATTTTAGGACAGATTTGAAGATGGAAATGAAGTAACTATTGACTAACTCAAAAATCAAAAGACATTAAGAAAAAATTGTAAAAGAATAAACCAAACATAAATATGTAAAAAGGTTATAGCAAATTTGTCAAAAAACAAAAGTTAAAGCTAAATTCGTAAAACAAAAATGGGGGAATCAAAAAAAAGTTGGCTAAAGATGGGTAAGTAATCTTGAAATCTGCTATATTAAGTCACAAAAACGTAACTCATTAAAATTTAAAAGTTAAATAATATTCGATCTTCAAGAAAAAAATAGTGAACAAATATATGCATGATAAATAATTAGAATGGCAAATTTCCGTGCAAACTTATATTAATCGCATTGAAATCTGGATGTATGATCGAGCCTATATCGAACTACGCCCAAGCTTGCTCATGTTATAACTAGATCGGACAATGTGCCAAGTCGAGTTGGTTTAGGTATTTAGATTCAAAAAAATAGTTGCTATGTATACTATGGATTTTTTTAGAGTAATCATTCGTACACAACATTTTTTTTCCGTACACAATAATTTATGTTTTTTAGAATTATACAATACAACATTTTAAAGCACATATTGTTGTGTATGAAAAAAAAAAATGTTTGTGAAAAATGTTACCTTTATCCTCTTTCAAAAAAAAAAAAAAAAAAGGCTATAAGCCGTTAGACCTTTTTTGTTTTTTTAATCAATTTATACTTTACAAATTTAGACTTTTTTGTTTTAAAAGATATTGTGGTCATTTTAGACATATTTTCAAGTATGAATATATGTTATGTTTGGTTTAATTCCACACATCATCTCACTCATCCCTGTATTACTTTTTTATGAGAACTTTTTCTCATTGTATTTGCAATCTCAAGCGGGCTTGAAGGTTCTTAGCAGCAAGCTAAAAGTTGCATGTTTGGGAGAATTTTGAGCACGTCGAAGATAAAGATGACAAGTAATGGGAAAGAAGGTCATATATTTTATGGTTTGTTTACAATACCTAGAAATACTATGCTTTTCAAGACAACGAGATATAACTATTATAATTTTTCATTTTAGTTAGAGTTTTGTGATATACATATATTATATTATTTTTATTGTATGTAATTAGGGTGTATGTAAAAAGAAAAAGCCGTTAATTTACCGGAACAAACCCATATATATGGAAATACTCAACTTTTCCAGCATAACAATGAAATAGCATGAAAATTATCGATAAAATTGGTGCTTACAGAAGGGCTATCGTTCGATTTCTTTAGCCGATCGATCATATTCAAAATGTGTTAGAATATTGTTTTCTACAAGTAAGCTGTACTATTTTAAAACATGACACTATAATTTTTTTTGTTATAATATGTAATGATTTACAAACATCTTTTGGTGAATTTACCCGAAAAATCGTTTTAAAAGGGATATATAATTAGGGGTATTTTGATAAAAGACATATTTATTTTTAAAAGTAGGCTATTATTTTGAAACAACTAAAAAAGAAACATAGACTATTAATATGGGACGGGGGGAATAGTATTTAGTGTGGTCCGTTTAACATTGATAACTCATTTATATATGTAACGGTGTATTAAATCAACCTAAAACATGGTTAATGAAAAAAATGGCTTTCAAACGCTCCCTACCTCACACATAGGTCCACTCTTTTTGAAATTTAATGAAAATTTTAACTCTTTTTACTTAAAAATATAATTATAAGTATATTACTAGACAATGCTAACAATGGGTATTAGAATGATTAAACTAACAATAAGCTTCAGATATCTACTATAATAAATGAATATAATTTTGCCACATGTCAATCTTTAATAAGTTTTGACACTTGTCATTTTGTGATATTTTTTAAATAAATAATATCCACATGTTAGTTTATGGTTTTTTTCAATTTTTAAAATTAAAAAGTCACATAATACTTATACTTGTATATCTAAAATATCAAATGTAATAAATATTATACTAAATTGCAATTAATATGTTTCTTCATTCATTATTTCAAAATTTTATTTTAAAAAATACTTATTATTTATATTTTAATATTTTTTTAATCAACCCGTGTATTTATATGAGTTTTACACCTAGTAATATAGTATATAAGAGTAGTTTATTTCATATTTGTTGTATATTTGTTGTTGTCATATTTTTAATTTGGTAAGTACATTTGAAATCTATATACACATTATCAAAATTTAGAATTTAGAATAATGAATGAATAAGCAAGTATTTTGTAGTGGCTTCATTATGCTTTAAAGTTAGACGATGTGTCAAATCTAAAATAAAATATGTTTAAAAATATAACCAACACATATGATGTCAAATTCAACTTATTTGATGACAAAATATATATTAGCAGAATTTCATAAACAATATGTACAAGATTTGCATAAAATATTAGGTAACCAAAACAACCGTTTAAGATCCGATATTTTGTTTATGGATGCGCATTTGTGATTTGTGCACCAACCTTTCAAGGTACCAAAACTTTCAGTGTGGTGTGAAAGTAACTCTCGTGAAACTTGAAGGACTAGTTGGGCAAAATAATTGATTATCGAGGGGCCGTTCGCAAAACCAAATAAAAATTTCAGAAAAAAAGGAAATTTTGTAAAGGAGATTTTCGATGCGTGTGACCGTACAAAGTTGCCGTTACAACCCTTCGTGTCACAACCTTCGACTCTTGATGATCAAAATCAAACCCTTGCTCTAGGGTTTCCTTACGATGGGCACCAGTTATTCCAGCAAGTTATTCTCAGAATTTCCTCAATTTGTCTTTGACGAATCAGATGAACTTGCCGAGATGAAATCCAGATGGAACCCTACAGGATCGGGGAAAAAGAAATTTCGTTCCGGTTATTCCCCCGTCGACAATTACACGTTTTTGCAATCATGTACGTATTGAGAGAATATCGAAAACCCTAATTTTTTCAATTCCGCTATACCAGTTAACACACGTACACCTGTTTATTCTATGCATACTGATGTTCAAGGGATCACGGGAAATTGATTAGTAGCAGTTCGTTGTTGAACTGTTGAAGTCCAGTAGATTACTTTTATATTTCAAGTCTGTTTTTTGGTTGTTGAAATAGTTCACGTTTGATTTCATAACAATTAAGTAGAAACGCGACAGTAAATCTGTGACAAGTGATATCAACGTTGACTGGTTTGACCTTGAAACTCTAGCTTTGGTAGTAGGGAGTGAGTTGCACTCCAATGTGTTTGTTTTGAATTTATAGTTGTTGTGTTGCTTAGAATGGGTGCTAGAGTGGAGTCTAGTTCATGTGTGACATAATTGAACTTCTTTTTGGTTAATACTATTTCAGAGTACTTAATATATGAATACATGTACTCAATGTCATAATTTTCCCCATAGTGGCTGGAGGAAAGGAGCCTAAAGGAAAGAAATTGAGGGATGAAACTGTAATTATTCATGAAGATGATGATGCAGTGAAAGAAAGAATTGTTCGGTCAGATACTGCGTTACAATCCAGTTCTTCAGACTACATTTCAAAGAGTTTTGCAGGATCCAAGTCTTCTGATTTCATCACTCCTAAGCCCCTCAAAGCTCCCACTCAACGGTTTTGTTTGGCTGATGTATTTAGCATTTGAATTTCATTTACTACACAATGAATTGTACATTGTTTTTTGAACAACCTAACAATTATTCATTTTTTCATTCTTTTTGCAGAATGAGCCTGTTTCTTTAATCTCAGATGAGGACAGTGATACTTCATCAGAAATGTCTTCTAATGATCTTGCAGACACCCAAGGTTCTGTACATTTTGATTTATCTTAATAACCCTGTATGTTTATTGGAGAACAATGTGTTCCTAATACCATGATTGTTTCCTCTTCAGGTTCATCAGGAGAACAGAGCCTTGTGCAAGAGATTACTTCACAGGAGATGGTAAGTGCACTTCTGGTCCTTTCGCACATTGATAAAGAAAGTAGTTGAAGGAAATCATGATTTTCAAGCTTCTTCTTGGTTGTGATTTACAGGAACCCAGTGTTGTTCTTCACCCAAAGTACACTACTTATGAAGGAAATTGTTACTGGAGTGCAAAGTTGACTTTTCTTCCCAGTTCCATTAAGCTTGATGTTTCAGAGGAAGAAGCACCTGTGGGTCCTCTTACTTACGAATGGAAGACTGTGGATCTTATTTGTATTGAGTCAAAATGGCTGGATCCCGTGAGTTTAGAGCTTCAGTTTATTATATTATCAACCTTCCTTTTTTATAGGTTAACTTCTGTGAAATTTCTAGTTTCTGTTCTTGTCTTTTTCAGTTCCCAACAGCTGATGTCTGTCTTCATTTCAAGTTGGAGCATCCAAAACAACCCTCCAGTGATCAAAAGTCAGGTATTTGCATTTCCAATATACATTTTTTTGTGTATTTGTTTTCAAGATATCTGGTTTTATTCTTACCAATGCATATATGATTAAACATACATCAAGTCATAACTTTATTTTATAAACAATCTTGCAGGCATTTTGAAGGTGAATTTCACTGTCTGTGACCCTAATTGGGATTCAATGCAAGAGCTTATTAAATCTCTGGATGAACAGTATAAGGAAAAATGGGAAGTTGATCTTGAGTGAGTCCTTTCTCTGTAAACCTTTAATTGGTTTCAAATCTCTTTCGTGACATTTTTACTTAATTGATTCACAGCTCATATGAATTGTTTGAAGACATTACTTATCGAGGCGATTGTGATTCTATATCTATTTCTAAGAGAGATTTTCAGCTGCTACATCCGGAGAAGTTTATCAATGATACCATTGTTGACTTTTATATCGAGTTGAGTTTGTTTTTTTGTACTTTAACTATATATGTAATTCATACATGATTTGGATAACTAAAGTGAATAGATTTAGAATAAGACAATAAGTTAAATGACAAAGTTTGAGTTAATGGCAGATACCTGAAGAAGATAAATCCTGCTGATGAAAGAGTCCATTTCTTCAATAGCTTTTTCTTTAGAAAGCTGGCTGATTTTGATGAAAATCAATTACAAATGTTTGATGCCAAGGAATCTTTTCAACGAGTTCGGAAATGGACAAAGAAAGTAGATATTTTTCAAAAAGATTACATTTTTATTCCTGTAAACTTCAGGTGAGTTTTTGTTTTTTATTTTTTTTTCCTTCCTTATTTTAAGTGTAGCATTCATATATCATGCTTTCTCATCTGTCCTCTATACGTGGCAGGTTGCATTGGAGTCTGATTATTATTTGTCATCCTGGGGAAGTAGTGAGTTTTGAAGGTAAATTTTTATTTGGTTATTTGGAACATGTGGCATTTCCATTAATATGACTAACTAACATCTGTGCAGATGAGGAACTAGAGGTTTCAGTTAAAGTACCATGCATTTTGCACATGGATTCTATTAAAGGAAGCCATAGAGGCATTGAAAATTGTATTAAATGGTAATCTATTCAGAATCTTTGAATGAATTAATGAGTTTTTTTTTTAGTTCATTTTGGGAATCTTCATTTGTAGCTTTTTTAATAACAATTTTATCCTTACAGCTATCTCTGGGAGGAGTGGAAACAGAGGAGTAGCAACAGAGCAGAAGATATCTCAACAAAATTCAAGAATCTTCGGTTTCTTTGTCTTGAGGTATCATATGTTATGTTTCTTTCTGAATGTTAAATAGTCATTGACTCTTTTGACCCTGTACTTTGTTCAGGTACCCCAGCAGCAAAACTCATATGATTGTGGGCTGTTCATGCTCCATTACATGGAACTTTTTATGAAACAGGCTCCAAGTAGCTTTAACCCATTGAGCAACTTTGTAAGTCTTAAGTCTTCTATTTCCTTCTTTCACAACCATTTTTTGTTCCTTAAGTCTCTTCTCTTGTCTTCTCAGATCAGTAAAGATTGGTTCTTTCCAACAGAAGCTTCTTTAAAACGTGGCCGAATAAAAAGATTGATTATTGAACTTGCAAAAAGTAAATCTGAACAAGCTTTATCACCCAGCTGCAATGATGAGTTTTCTTCTGAAGACAAAGATGTGGTTGAGGAAGAATCTGAAGATGTAGAGATTCTGAATGAGACATGTCATGGAAGAAGTAGCACACCAATAATGGTAAAACCTCTGAGAAGTGAACCATATAAATCTGATTGTGAAGAATTGGGAGATGATGAAGATTCATTGATTGATGAAGATGATGATGATGAGCAGAATCATGGAAAGTTGGTTCTCTATGATCCTTCTGTTGCTGTTGCTGTTGCTGTCTTATCACCAACAAAGGTAATAATAATAATAATAATAATAATAAGTAGCTGAGCTGTCTTTGCATTGATATAATTATCTAAACTGCATTTTGACAAATGTGTATAGGAAAGCAATGCAAAAGAAGAAGTTGACAATGAGAAGCAGCAAGTATCTGGAAAGAATGAGTCAGAGTCGTTTATGACTTGTCTTGATAAATCTTTGAATTTATTACAACTCAAGGAAAGAAATCAGCCAGAAGAAGATGTAGATGTATTTGTTGTTGAAAAGAAAGAAGAAAGTGATGATGATGTGTTTGAAACATGTGTAGTGGAGGACTCTGATTCAGACGATGTGGGGGGTCATCTTTCTTGTTACAGACGGAAATTTGCTTCTTCTTCTTCTTCTTCTTCTGTAAAATCTGAAGAAGGGAGGAGTTTGCAGCAGCAGGCTCCTAAAAGAAGACATGATGTGGTTTCTCAAGCACAAAAAAGGCTTAGGAGAAACCCTTCAACTGATTTGCAGATCATATCTCTTTGTGAATAATAATTAAATAATAAATAATAAAATCATCTATCATGTTCAAAGGTATGCTCCAACTTTTCATATGTATATATAGTTATGTGGATAGTGGTAAATATTATATTTGCTATATAGCTTTTTGCAAATATTTGTTTGAAGAGAGATTGAACATTTTTTTTTTTTTTGAAAAAAAAAAAGCGATGATTGTTTGCTATTTGATGATTGATGTTATTGGTGTGGACTCTGCTGATGTGAACCTTGTTCTTAGGAAAAACAATGGTGCTATTGGGTCTGTTGTGGTCATTAGTTAAAATAGTTTTTATTTTTTATTTTTGTAAACGATCAATTAACAAGAAAATAATAATTTGAGAGTATTTTACTTTATAACTATTTTTTAGCATATGGATACTTTACAAATCTTTTCACAAGTGTACAAACCAAACAGGGTTTTATTGAAGAAAGTATTTTAATTTTATTCCAAATCTTGTCAACCAACTCTTCATAGATTCCAAGTCCCTCAAATTCCGTTTTCTTTTGACAAATTGCAAATTCGATGAAAACAATCCAACAATAGAAAGGGGTTTGTTTTCTAGTTATCAAGCCACGCACTGCCTCTCTCATTTACTCCATTTGACCTTTTTCCTTTTTTTAATTTTCTGTTTTACATTATAAATAACATTAAAGCATCCAATTTTACCCAAACTAAAAATATTTCTTACAACTCTATAGAATATTACTTCCATCTCTCTAAAAATATATCCACAACTCTATTTAGAAATTGAATTTAATCCCTTGGATTTTGTGTCTCAAAGTCAACCTGAATTTGGTCACCAAACTCAAAGTTGAATCCGAATCCAAACCAGAATTCGTTCGGGAAACTCAGCCCAATAAGGTACTAAAAAAGGGGAAGGCCCCGAATAAACCTTGGGAACCGATAGAAAGTGATGGATAATATCTCAAAACAAAAGTTATGACTTACCACAACATAAATACTTGGATGTCGTAGAACAAGATGTAACATTGTTTTTCGCTTAAAGGAAAACTTCCAACACCATACAAGCTATACATCCATGAAGAAAAAGTTGCACTTGGGATATCACTCAATCGACTAAATTAGATGACTGCAACATGAGCCGGATAAACTCTTATCCAAATTCTTTTAATTGATTCAAATTTTATTTGATTGAAAGACTTTACCATTAATTGCTCTAATCCAAATCTAATTGATTAAGACCTTAAAATATTAACTCATGACTTGGAACAAATTGTAGAAAAACATGTCTTTTGCCAAACTATGTACCATTTCACACATTTAAATTACAACATTTTGCAATCATAACTATGGCCTATCTAATAAGATCATGATCAAGATTTCCATTTCCTATCTAAAACTAAAAGAACTTGTAAAACTCTTTTAAAAGAATGAACACAACAACACATACCTTCTACTTGTTCAAAGTGGACTTCTTCAACATGTTATCCAGCATACCCATTAATAACTCATCATCTTTAGAAAATTCACCCATCTGTTCAGACATTGTTTCCATTTGACTTATCAAATCCTCCCTATGAGATAACAGTTTTGTAATATCTTCACGTAACCCTTGATTTTCAGCCTCTAACTCTCTTTTCTCATCTTCAAACTGTTTTTTAAGCTTTTCAGTTTCTAATTTTTTGATTCCCATCAAGACTTGTAGTTCTTCAGCCTGCAATAAGGATTCATCTTTCAACTTCATTTTCTCAGATAAATCAGAAACTTCAATCTTCATTTTTTCTAAAGCCTGGTTTAGAACATCAATCTCAATCTGTTTTTCTAGATTCTTGACTTGTAGTTCTTCTGCATCTTGAGAGGCCTGCAACAAGGATTCATCTTTCAACTTCATTTTCTCACATAAATTATTAACTTCAATCTTCATTTTGTGTAAAGCTTGGTTTATAACATCAATCTCAATCTGTTTTTCTAAATTCTTGACTTGTAGTTCTTCTGAATGTTGGGAAGCTTGCAACAAGGATTCATCTTTGACCTTCATTTTCTCACATAAATTAGAAACTTCAATCTCCATTTTTTCTAAAGCATGGTGTATGAGATCATTCTCAATCTGTTTTTCTTCTGAGTTCTTGAAAGCATTGGTCATCTCTTCTATAACTTCTTCAATCCTCTTGTTTCTCTCTTCTAACACCTCTAAAAGGCTCTTTTTTTCTTGCTCAAAACCAATTACCACATTTTCTAAGTTGCTTTCTTTATCTTGTATAACTTTGAAATACTTTTCTATATCCTTCTTTTGTACTTCTATTGTCCCTGTTCTTTCTGTAACCAATGTTTCTAGTAAGACTACTTGATGTTGCAAATCAACAATTTTTTCATTCTGCTCATTTGCTTTACATTCAAGACTCTGATTCTCAATCTTGCATGCTTTTAGGCTTGTTTCAAGTAACATATTTTGGTTTTCTACCAACTGTTTCTCTTTCTCTATCTCAATAAATTTCTGTGATAAATCATCTGAAACATCTTTAAGATTCTGAATCTTAGAATTTTCCAACTCCTCCTGTAATTGCTTAACTTGTTCATTTTGTAATTTCAGTTTTAATAGATACTCATCCATCTCTTTCCTTTTCTTTTCCAATTGAGATCTCCACTCAACTTCTTTTTCTTCCAGATTTTCTTTACACTTCTTGTGTATTTGTTCCAAATCTTGATATCTCCTTTGAAGTTTCTTCAATGAAGCAGTAGGTCCACTTTTCACAATCTGAGATTCCTGGAATTCTTTGAGAGATGCTGTTAGATCTTGATTTTCTTGTTCTAAATACACCAATTTATACCCCATCTCTTTGGATTGAGAATCTTTTGTGGCTAAAGTATCTCTTAATTCTGCAACCTCTTCATCTCTCTTGTGAGACAACTTCTCAATAGTTGCCTTTGCTTCATGGCACTCCAAGTAAATATTGTCAAAACGTGATTTATACTCAGAAACTTCAAATTCCAAAAGTTTCTTTGAGCTTTGTTCATGTGCTAATGCTTGGTTGCATATCTTTAATTGAGTCTGAAGGGTTTCAGATATTCTATGTTGAGCATCCAGGCTTCTTTGAACAGAAGAAATCTCATCCAAAAGCAATGACTTCTCTTTCTCCCACTCTGATTTACTGCATCGAAAACTCTCTTGAAGCCTTTCATGTGCTTCTTCAAGATGTTGAAACTGTTCATTCTTCCATTTCAGTTGATCTTCAACATCTCTAAGTTTCTCCTCCAATTTACTTATCATCTCTTCAGATCTGGCATTCAGTTCTTTGGCTTGCTTTTCAGATTGCAACTTTGTTTCCTGAAATTTAGTTACCATTTCAATTTGAGCTTTTCTTAAGTTATTGTAGAGATCTGTTTTTGTACGAACTTCTTCCTCCAGCCTCTCTTTTTCTGCTCTAGCTTTGTCTAGTGCTTCATGAACATCCATTCTTTTTAAGTCTGTCATGGTATGTAATGAATCTCAAGGTTTCCTGTTTGATGACAACACAAGAATGAACTAAGAAAGCCTCATATCAAATCTTGTTAAACAACTAATAAACTTGTAAAGCTTGATATCTTTGAATTTCCACAGATGTTTTAATTGTACACATTAACAAACTTAAAGAAACAACCATCATTTATGAAAAAATGATAAGTGAAATCACACATTATTTCCAATGAAGTTAAGTAACAATATATCTGAACTCTGGCGTATTCCGATTCAAATAAACTATATGCAAAAAAGTATGATTGTTATATTTTTTTCGACAATTAATACTAAATTTGAAGTTAGCAACCATTCTATATAAAAGTAACAGCAAACTTGACATAATTTAGTCAGAATATGACTAACAAAAAGTTAAATGCAACTCAGAAAACCCTACTTTGCAAGCAACGAAACCACAGGATCAGGTAAACAAGGCACGAATCAAACTATACAAGACATATAACACATAGATCCAACTAATTCGCATAAAAAATCAAACTCAAATGAAAACCCCTAGCCAGAAATCAGATACCTAATAAACTTGCACTTACAAAATCAGCAAGTATCAACCAAAGTTTACCTTTAATCGTACAAGAAACTCGACCAATCAAAGTGTTGGAAAAGCAAGAACCAGGTTTCCAAAGTTCAAATCGGAGCAACGAAAAGAGAGTCAGAGATTCGTCTTTGTCCTTTTGCTTCTATCATATTTTGAATTGGATTTTGCCCGCCTTCATATTCTCGACCTTCCTTTACTTCTTTCTTCTTTGAGTCTAGTTACAGAGACAGTCCCTGATCTTAGTTAAAAGATGTATAAATGACCCCAAAAATATCTCCTTCCCGATTTTAGTCCATGATATGTATTTTCATAGGACAAACAATCTTACACTAAGACCATTTTCAGTCCATTACACAATTTTTGTACTAACTAGAAGGTCAGCCGCACTCGCAGCGCTCCGATTTTTTTCCATGTTTACATATTTCAATGTTTCTTTGGTTTTTTTTCTCGTTTGTTGTTTATTTTGTGTGTGTATAATGTATTAAGGAAAGTAGGGTCGTATAGTAGAATATCGAAGGTAGGGGGACCAAAAGCGCCAACTCCACAAATTAATATGGCATAAACTTGAGGTGTCACATTTGGTAAATGTTAGGGACCACAAATGGCAAACTCTTGAAACCTTTGTAGCTAGTAGTAAAGAATATCGAAGTTGGAGAACCATAAGTGCCAACTCCACAAACTAATGTGGTAAAAACTTGAGGAGGGACCAAAAGTGGCAAAGTGTTGAAACTCATGTTTACATATTTCAGTGTTTCTTTGGTTATTTTCTCGTTTGTTGTTTCTATTTTGTGTGTATAATGTTTTGAGGAAAATAGGGTCGTATAGTAGAATATTGAAGGTAGGGGACCAAAAGCGCCAACTTCACAAACTAATGTGGCAAAAACTTGAGGTGTCACATTTAGTAATTGTCAGGAACCAAAAATGGCAAATTCTTGAAACTTTTATGGCTAGCAATAGAGAATATCGAAGTTGGAGAACCAAAAATGCCAACTCCGCAAACTAATATGGTAAAACTTGAGGGACCAAAAATGACAAAGTGTTGAAACTTTTATGGCAAAACTTTAAACAATAGAAAATATACTATCCAAAAGGGGTAATGTGAATTAATTGTATATATAATATGATAGAAACTAAATAATATGTAGTACAAACTATAGTTTCTTTTTAACTTATTACACCATTTTTAATACATAAAATAATATTTTATGCAAAAAAAAAAAAAACAAAAAACAAAAAATTCTAGCTTTTTCTAAAAATACCCTTCATAAATCTTTATATTTATAATTGTTTTTTTAAATTTGACTCACATCTTTTACAACAATAACTTATTGTGTATTAGATAAATATTATTGGAATGGAAAGTCAAACAAAATCCCTATTGATTCCTAAATAACTGTAAAATAGAATCTTTATGTTATAAGTAAATATTTGTATAGCTACCTTGCTAAGCTTAAAAGTTTTTGCCTTGTTTATTCTTTTCTATAAAGTTGCATGTAGTAAACAAAGAGGGTAAGGATGCACTAAAACGAAAAATCTCTAATACATCAAACAACCCAAAAATCTGAATCATAAGAACAATATTAGTTTAAGCGGAATATGACTAATAAATCAAAAAATAATCAACCACATGCATTGAAAAATACTAAGCAAAGTAGTAAATTAGAGAGACACAGAGATTTATGTGGAAATCCCAAATCGGGGAAAAACCAAGGGCGAAAGAAGCCGATAACCAATCCACTGAAATATTGCATTGTTTACAAAGCTTGATCAAAGAGATTACGATGAGCTAAAAGGATTTGGTGATGAAGGGTTGAAACCCTAGAAATGTCGCTCAAAATAGGGAAGAATAAGAGGTCTTGATTTTTATCTGGTCTCTCTTAATGAAGAAAATGGCGTTCAATTGAGGCTAAAAGGAATAAAGGTTTTACCAGTTTGGCAAATTTGGGCCTTCAAGAATGGTGCATTTGCATTTTAGAAACAAGTCCTTTTTAGACCGGATACACCCATTTTAGACCTAGTGCCCTTCTTAGACCTGATACACCCATTTTTGACTCGGTTCCCATTTTAGACTTGGAACACTCATTTTAGACATAGTGCCCTTTTTAGACTTGAGGCGATCAAATTAGACCTGAATTGCTGGAAAGACAATATAACCCTTGAACTAAACAGAACTTGTCAATTTTGGAAGTCATATTTCCACAATCTCCACCTTGACTTCAAAATAGACAATGAAAGCTGCAACTTGCCCAACAATCATCCAAGAACATAAAACAACCAAAATCTCATCAAAACTCCAAAACTCCATAAGAAACTGCAATCACCATTTAGAGAAAAAATTGATTTTGAAAAAGATAAATACTTCCTCCACCAACAAGTCATTCAGGCTCAATTGCGACCAGAAACACCCATCAAGTCCAAAAATAGTTTGAACTTGGCTATAAGAAGACTTTTAGTGAACATATCTATGAGATTATAATTTGTATGAATCTTTTCCACGACACAATCGCCTTTTTCAGTGATATCCCTCAAATAATAAAAACGGATATCAATGTGCTTTGTTCAGTCATGAAATATTTGATCTTTACTCAAGAAGATAACACTTTAATTGTCGCAAAATACCATCGTAACCTTCAATTTATCATCGAGTTCACTAAATATACCCCTCAACCAGATATCTTCCTTAACTACTTATGTAATCGCCATATACTCTGCCTTAGTAGATGACAAAGCATTCGTAGAGTGTAACCGGGCTTTCCAACTAATAGCATAACCGTCCAAAGTAAACACGTACCCTATAATAGATCTTCGCTTGTCCAGATCTTTAGCATGATCTGAATAAACATATCCAAGCACCCCAGTGGTAGAGTTACCAAAATATTGACACATAGAAGATGTTCCCCGCAAATAACGAAAGATCCAATGTGTAACACACGTTCCAGGTATGAGTTAATTTATAAATGTTCTACTTTTATTTTGGGTGGCCATGCCATGGTGGAGCCTCACCACAGCGTGAAATTATTGTTTTGATTGTGGGTTTAAATGACTCGTCATGGTGTGGCCATTGGTGCCATGGCGTTGCAAGTGTTTTTGGAGGAAACCCTAATTCTTGGGCCTTGGGCCCTATTTAAAGGACATTATGGCTAGGGTTTCATGATCATTTAGCCTCCATCTCCATCTCAAGCTTAGAAACCCTAACCCTAGCCTCCATTGCAATTGTAAACTCATTTTGGTGTTTTGGTTATCTTTGAAAGAGAAAGAAGCCTTTGGTGTGGTGATTTACCTTGTAAGCATTATTGTAACAATTGGTAATTTTAGGTTGAAAAATGTCGACCAAACCACCGCAATAAATTGTTATATTATGAACCAAGGAATAATATGATGGAATAGAAAAGTATATATATGACGTTAAAATTTATAATCACTTGCCAAATATCCCAACTTACTAAAAATCTTGTCTAACGATTAGGAAATTTACGAATATGGTAATATGACACGTGAAGTGAAGATTAATTTTAAGTGGGTTAAACAACACTAATGTGACGCTACTAACCACTTGTTTAATTAAATCACCTTCATTAGTTGGAACGACAAAGTTTTACTTTACCAACCTAAAACCATACCTATATTAATAGCTATACTTGTGTACACCACCTAGAAAACCTCATACCTCATTTATCATAAAAAACAATAATATCATATAATACAAGAAATCATGATGAAAAATAGTGGTGGTACCTCAAATCCTATTTCTCTACATTGAGCATCTCTCAATTGTCACAACTAGTAGATGGAGTATCATGATCATATAAGAACAAATGGACATAACTTCAAATAGCCAAAACACACGTTTCTTTTACAAACATTACAATTGAAAAGAACTTTTGCATGCAACTTATACAACATAAACTATTTCCCACGTCACATGAGACCCACATTACAAATTTATAACCATATAAATCCCATACATATTTTCCCTTGAGGCACCCCAAAAACTCACGTAAGCAATCACCTCTTCTAATTTTCTTTGCTAATTTTGAGCTGGAAGTTAGAGACCATAAACACGTTTGTTGATCGCCCAAAATCTTCCTTAGTACCAGTTTTAAAGGTGACACAAGAAGCCTTCCTAAAAACGAACAAGTCTCGGGTTTAGATCACGCAACAAAGGTGAGTCTTATGGCCCCATTTTCTTTATGTTTTATAAACATTTGGGGGGAGATACATACATGTCTTGCATGCTAAATATGAAATTTTATTATCATTATATGATACATATTTAACATTATTTATAATGGGTTAGCATACGACACTTTAGTTATATTGAACTAACATGCAAATGAATCTATGAAATGGTTACATCCATTATAAACAAAATTTCATATTATATTATGACGTAATAAAACATTTG